AAAGGGGACTTATTTATTTCAACAAATTTTATTGGACAAAAAAAATTAACAATTGGATGAAACAAGAGGCTATATAAGTCTTCTCTCAACCAGTATAGATGGACAGAAAGCATAAATTTAATACATTGCTCAACAAGACACACTCATATACACTTACAAACATATAGGCTAGAACATTCAACCAAGTTATAAGAAAGAAAAAGAAACATTATTTGATGACATTTGAAAACTTATAAAACACTTTCTTAGCAAATCATATATATGTTTGTACACTCAGTCCATAACACACATACACACACACCCTCACATACACACACATATATATATAATATGCATTAAGGAGACTTAATGGAATGCTTGATGTTTGTCATTTGTTGTAAGTTTCGTTGTTTTTAATTAATAGAAGAGACAAAACTGATTAAATAACTTGTAAAAAGAAACTTTTTTCAACACGTCTAAATACATTTTGTACATTAAAAAAGCATGACAATGTATTGTCCTTAATCCATTACAAACTACCAGCAATTGCCGCCTTATGATATATAAATGAATCTCGAATATCAGTATAGCATGTGTGACTGACTTGAAGCAAATCAGACCAGGGTAGGGAGGGGGACGGGGGAGTGATGTTGTGACACAGACACGAACTGACAAAGTAGGCTACGCATACTTACCTTTAACCCACACATGCGCGTACATACATGTATCTCAGGCGGCTCATCAGCATTGTCGTTGATAAACATCGAATCTCTTCGTCTGATCGGTTCTCCTTTGCACTGAAGTGACTAGATTTGCGCAGGCCTATCTTTCGTGAAGCCGACGGTTGTTTTCTTGTTGAAAGAGTGAAAAACACATATTAAAATTGGTAGACCTTTTAGAGTCAAACATGAAACTTGTCTGTGACGAGGTCAAAACTGGTATGTGGCAAAATTTGAAGCCCGCGATTTTCAAACCGCAAATATTTGTATTGCGAAACATGATTCGTCAAAAACGTCGATAACTTTAATTTTCAAACCCGTTTTAAGGAAGAAACACTTCAAACCATAACGCATATGTTTGCCTAGTTCTCGTAAGCAATGTCCATTTTTTTCAGTTCATGAAAAATCTACATATTTGCCTAAATTGACAAGCCCAATGCCCCGAACTAATAAACAAATGTCGATGTTTACTATGAAACATAAGTTGGGCTTGTATATATTTTTTCAAAATCAACCTGTAACCTATAGTTCACGTATTACTATGTTGTACATCTTAGCCCTGTATGACCCCTGGAAGGGGCTAGCATGAGTGTCTAACCGGGTGGTAACAGACCTTCGGAAAACTTTGGTAGTTGCTTATAATAATAATAATAATTTGAGGTTCTTATAAATGTATATACCGCTTCATCACAACCTAGTTCCTAGGTCGTCTCAAAGCTGTTCACAAATCATTTTCCCAGGGTTAGACACTTACTTTTTTTTGCTTGGTAGTACACAGGACTAGTTAAATAGATTATTTACTTAGTCCTTTGTCAATGTAACTTGTCCCAGATTTCCTGATGTATAGAAACCTCGCGATCTACAGCATTAAACTGCAAAATTAGGGGACAGTCCACAGGACTTAAAATAACTACTGCCATACAAATATGGTAAAGTTTGAGGAAAGTTATGAGAATAATCATGCAATATATGTTATTTTATGCAGTTTTCTAAATTTAAAAAAAGGAGTATTTACATACAACAATTATATTTTTCACAAGTCCAAAGGACCAGTTAGGTAATTAGGTGATTTACTAGTCCTTGATGAAATCTACTAGTCCAGGACTAGCAGACTAGTTTAGTGTTGAACCCTGTATTGCTCGAAGATACAACACAGTGTGGTGCTGTGACTCGAAACAGTAACCCTTCGGTGCACGAGCCCAGCGTCCTACCACTCGACTACCGTGCCTCCAGAATGCTAGTAGTTTATCATTATAGGACACTGATTTCAACCACTTCAATGATATAAGGTCACCATGCTGGGGTTAAAGGACCCTGGGAGCAATCACAATGATAATTAGTACATGAATTAATCTGTTTATGACCTGCAAAGAGCATGATCATTTCTAAGAACAGACAGACAAACAACAAGGGAACTAATGATGTTACAGCATCTTTCATTTACATACTTTACCTGGTCTGTAGGTGACATGCAAAGACAATAAAACTAGCTCAAAGATGATTCGAAATCAGTATTAAGTAATTATGGTACCCAATGTGTAACTCTGATCCAGCATTCAATTTCTCAATACAATATATTCCAATATTAGAGAAGCAACGGCTGCAGTATCTATTCCTTTTGAATAACCGAATGATAAAAAAATGTAATCATTTACATTTTAATGTAAGAAAAGCATTATATTGTGAACATATTTTGAACCAAAATATGATGCCATTAGGGTTATACACTGTACCAGTATCTTCAGAAGCTTGATACTGCAATAGATATAAACAGGACCATTGCAACTACAACAACGTTAACATAGAAATGATAAATATACAAATGTGTTCTCACCATGTTATACAAGAGATACCTGAGTTGTTATTTGTTGTAGTGATGCAAAAAAAAAATAGTTCATATAGTTCAAAAAAGGCTTTTTGAATTCCTTGAGAGAAATTCATGTTGGGAGTGACCAACATGTATCATATATATATTGCGTGTACATAATTGTCCAACATATATATATATATTGCTGACAATTTTCAGAAAAAAAAGTGAAAAAAGATTTAAATAAGATCTACTTTCCAGTGGAGGAATGATTGACATGGAGCTAATGAAATAACAATTTAGCGATTTAGGACCTTTCCATCCATGAACAGTGTTTGATTCTAGCATCTCTGGATCTGAAGAAGATTGTTGAAATTTCAGCCAATTTGCCCTCTTTTGCCCGTCCCCTCAGGTCCTAGGGGTGGGTCAGGTTTTTAATTTTCATAACATCAAAATGCAGTCACATCATAATCATTGAAACCGAGTTTGAAATTTTTCCTACTGAAAGTAAACAACATATACTCAAAAGAGTGATTTCCCCATATAAACTACAGTAAGACCAAAAACAAGGTTACAAATGCTATGGATAACCTGATCATGACCTGTCTTAAATTTTCCTGCGGACCTTAGAACATTTTATCACCTACTTTGTATTTCGTTCCCTCCCATATTAAGATTAAGAACCTCTGCATGCTTCAGTAAAGACAAAAAAGAATGATTAAAATAAGTTTTAAAAAATCTTTGAAACAAATAAAGCTCATATTTGACGGAATATCCATGTCATTCTTTCCACACACAATAACACAATGGAATCCCCTACCCATAGCAGCAGTACAATGCACAACACTAGAGGACTTCATGACACACTTACCCTATGCGGCCCTTAAAGCCCTCATCACACTCTAAAACATTCCTCAGTTTTTTAGGTCACCTGAGACAAAGTCTCAAGTGACCTATTGCGATCGCCTTTTGTCCGGCGTCGTCCGTCGTCCGTCGTGCGTCCGTAAACAATTTACATTTTCGACTTCTTCTCCGAAACCCCTGAACCAATTTCAATGAAATTTTGCAGAAACCTTCCATAGCCAAAGGTCAACTAAAATTGTGAATCATATGGTCCCCAGACCCAAGGGGCCTGAGGGGCGGGGCCAAAAAGGGTAAAATTGACTAAAATTGCAAAAATCTTCTTCTCAAGATCCAGATATGGTAGAATCAAATACTCTTCATAGATGTGAATTTCTTGACCCTGGGGTCTCACGTTTCCACATGGGGAGGGGGTAAACATTACTATAGTTTATATTGGGAAATCACATTTTGGACCAACATTTGTTTAATTGCCATTGGAAGTAATTCAATTTGAGTTAGCATTATCAGTATTGGATAGCAGTTTGATGGTATGCACATATCAGCCCTGACTGACCCTCCTGGGCTGATGGGTGGGGCCAAAAAGGGCTGAGTTGACTAAAATTTCAAAATCTTCTCCTCAAGACCCAGATATGGTAGAATCAAATACTCTTCACAGATGGAAGGGTCTTAAGGTGCTTTACCAAATTTGTGAATTTCATGACCCTGGGGTCTCACGTTTTCCCCTGGGGAGGGGGTAAACTTTACTTTAGTTTACATAGGGAAATCACATTTTGGACTAACATTTGTTTAATTGCCATTGGAAGTAATTCAATTTGAGTTAGCATTATCAGTATTGGATAGCAGTTTGATGGTATGCACATATCAGCCCTGACTGACCCTCCTGGGCTGATGGGTGGGGCCAAAAAGGGTCGAATTGACTGAAATTTCAAAAATCTTCTCCTCGAAACCCAGATATGGTAGAATCAAATACTCTTCATAGATGGAAGGGTCTTAAGGTGTTTTACCAAAATTGTGAATTTCATGACCATGGGGTCTCGCGTTTCCCCCTTGGGAAGGAGGGGGGGGGGCAAAAGTTGTTATGGTTTATAATGGCAAATGATAGTTTGAATATTACATGTTGATAACTTGATTGGAATTATAACCCTAAGTTGACAGTTTGATACTTTGTAAATTTTGAGCCATCCCTACCCCAAGGGCTGTAGGATGGGGCCCAATGGAGTCCGTGTGCTAAAATAAAATTTCTTCTTTTTCCTTGTTTAGAATCAGAGGTGCAGTTTTAAATACTTTTCAGTCTTAAATCTGTATGCTAGATATTGAATAAGGTGGTTTTATTGTTTTTTGTCACTTTTAATTATATTTCTGTTCATGTTGAAAACAAAAATCAACTCTCTGTATAAATATAGCAGGTGACCGTTAAGGCTCATGGGCCTCTTGTTATCTTTTATCTATACCTGGCACAAAAAATCACACAAAAAAACCCTCAAATTACAATCACTGTAAATAACCCCTTTTTCGCGCCTCTGCAATAGGACCCCCCGAGGGCATAAACGTCACAATTGACAGAGCCTCCGTAATTTAAAGAAGAAGAAGAAAAAAGTATGTATCGGAACTGGTCTGGGTAGAATGTCGGCGAACAGATAGCTCAATTGGTAGAGTGTCCAACTAGAGTTCGGAAGGTCCCGGGTTCGATCCCCGGTCTGGCCGGGGATTTTTCCTCTCCCTTTACACCGGTATCAACCTTGGTAGAAGATTATGCTAGGCTCAGAACTATATATGTATACAATTTGCAATGTGTAAAAAAATGATTACGAGTTTTTTATTCTAAGATATATACCAGTAAAATAAGAAGATCCTTAGTTTTCCATTATTATTAATTATGATTCTGCAGTATAATTGTCAAAAATCAATACTTGCATTACAAGATTGCACACATATACTGGTACATAAAATGCAATTCAAATCTGTACATAAGGTTATTCTTGACAAGTAATCAAGATTCTTCCCAGTTGAATCTCTACATTTACTTGTAGTTGACAGGTGAAAACCCTTTAATTCCCATGATAAGAACCCTCATACAATATATTTAAATTTTATCTCATCATATACAAGTAATATTTTGTCATCAAATGAGACCACATAGGAACAGGTGCAAGAAATAAGTTATGTAATCAGAGTTTTTGCCAGGCTTTTTGATGACTAAAAATTATAGGGTCTGTTACAGTGATCCGTTATATTTCAATATTTCGAATATGACCCTGTATTTTCACACTTTCAGTCTTTATTTTCCCAATTGGATTTAAAAGCATGTTCATACAAGTTTCCAGTCATTATATCATATGTACACTTTTCATTCAAAATATTAAAGAAAATACAAAAATAACAAGAATTTGAAATTGAATCAACAAAAACACTGAAAAGTGACATGTTTAAGTATTGCTATACATTTTACTGTAAGAAACAGCTAGATGAATTTTTTTTGCAAATCACATTGAAGGTTCTATTTGATAAAAATTAAAATTTCCCTTAACGTGGGAATATTGATGAAATTTCCCAATTTTTGCCAAATGCCAATGATATTTTCCCAATTCCTGCTCAGGGACCCTTTCCCAAAATAGCTGGCAAAACCCCTGGTTATAATGTTGACTTGCTTGTTATGTTTTGTTATATTTTCATTTAGAAAATCTTGAGGCTGCTTTGTTCTTGAATATTTTTTTGTTTTATGTTGAAATATTTCAAAATTATAATGTATATATATATATTCTAAATTTCTTAGACAAGATTTCTCAAAATATTTACAGTGTAGGAAATCTTCTAACATGGATGTTTAATTAATGAAGTTATAGCCTGGCTAGAAACTATTAATTACTGTACATACAATGTGACACAGTTGATATTTAGGATTGCCTTGCTAAAATTGACCATTTTCAGCCAATAAACTTGCTCAATAAACTTATTCTGATTGAGTATAAGACCTAATGATTCCATCAGAAAGAACTCAAAAGATGATTGATGTACACTCAAGTGTTATTTTCACCTAGGGGGCATAAACACGTGACATTTTTTGATGATTATTTATGTCACGTTAGAAATTTCAAAAGGTTGGCAAATCTGCATTTGTGAAATTGTCATTACCATACATGTATGTCAATATGTATCATCTGCTTACGAAAAAAAAGTGCAATTAACACCTTCGAGGGAGGGGGGCATATTGTGACATCAACACGAACCGACAAAGTAGGCGAAGCATACATTATTTCAATCACCTTTAACCCACATAAAAGTACACATTTATGCGCGTACATAGTAACATACCCCAGGCGGCACATAAGCATTGTCGTTGAGACTAGACTTGCGCAGGACTGTTTTCTTGATGATAGAGTGACAGACACATATTGAAATCAGTAGACCTTTGAGTCAAAAATAATACCTGTCTGTGAGAGGTCAATACTGGTAAAATTTGCCCAAAAGCTACTCTTGTCGATCAGTAGGCCTTTACCCTCCCGTGTTCTTATTCCCGGCGAAGTTGATCTGTTCCGGTCTTTTCAACCAATCAAATGTAGCAAATTTTGAAGCCCGCCACTTTCAGACCACAAATATTTGTATTGCTTAACATGATTCGTCAAAAACATCGAAAACTTTAATTTTTAAACCTGTTTTAAAGAAGAAACATTTCAAACCATAACAAATACGTTTGCAAATTAAAGTTCACGCAAATAAGTTACGATGTGAAACATATTTTCTATTCCTACAGAGATGTTTAAAACGGTGATTTTTTTAGCTTCTGATCTATTAATAACCAATCAGTGAGTCGCAAATTTTAAAGTCCGTTCTGCACGATGTAAATAAAAAAGATCGCATAGTATTGTAGTTTCGTTTTGTGTTACTACATATAGATTTTTGCTTGAACTATAAGAGCTCGCTGCGCTCGCTTTTAAGGCTAACAACTTTGTAAGAAATAGTTCACAGGATTTGTAACATATCAATCTCTTTAGCGACCCAAATGAATGTTACGAAATGACATTTTGATTAAAGTTCATTCATTTACCAAGGCCATGTAGAGCTTAAAGGGACAATTTAGTGAAGTAAGTTTTTTATAACCTTGTCACAAAACTCTTCACGATTCTATAGTGTGATACTCCTTATGAACAATTCATGTCGAGAAATTGACAAGATACAATGTTTTCTTGTGTTGTCGGTCGACAGCGTATACGTAGTGCTATACATGTTTACCTTTCACTGAATGGCCCGGATATTGCCACTTTTTCGGTCGTAGCTTTTACCACCGGCTTTCCAAATATATGGAACTGACCACACTGGACGTTTGCTTTAGGTCATGTCATTATCAAATACGTAAACTTTCGTTAGGAGATATACATTTTCAGTATCAATACTCAGGTAAAAACTTACTTAACTAAATTGTCCCTTTAAGTTTTCGTTGATGACCTATTGGGAGGTATACCGGTCTAAATCCATGTATTTTGAAACTTATTTTTCAAGCAGATATTTGTATTAAAATGCATATCGTGTCGATTGTATGGTGCTGTGACAGCACGGGGTATGGGAACATGGTACGGGGTACAGGGTACAGGGTGCAGGGTGCAGGGTGCAGGGTGAAGCGTAGACTGAAACAATTCATTAAATCGTTAAACTTCGCAAGACTTTGTTGCGTATTTTAGCAAAACAATTTGTTTGCTTGCATAAGAAAATACACTTTCATTCCCGGTATCATCAATCAAAGTTTAAATAAACTCGATTTGTGAGTTCACTGAATCTTTTTTTAAACACCTGAAACGATGTTATCCACTGTGCAGTGATACAAAAACGTACAACAGCTCGGAAAAAAAAATTGAACTGTATTTACTATTTACATCGTAAAGCTACATTTATTGTTAAACTAACTTTTAAATCAGATATGTGTATCAAAGATACATATCGTATCGAAAGCATTGTGCTGTGAAAATACAAAATTAACAGAAAATCCTCATACAATATGTCAAATTTCAGCAAAAACGTTAAACTATTGGGTTCAGTAAAAGCTGTTGAAAAGAATATAAAAATGAGTGGAGTGACGCTACAATATTATTCTCAGGACTTTGGGCGAGATGTCAAACAATGTATGTATCGGCGGTTTGACTCACTGGCCGATCGGTCTAAATGCGGCACTCAAGGGTATATGTAGTTGAGCCAATATATATCGGCCCGGCGACATACTAATGGTTAAAAGACCAATGAAAGTGTTGCTTCTTTTTGGCAATTATATGCAGTTCCAAACATGAACAATTAGTTATACATTGTTTTGGCATATGCTACATTATGCTTTACTGTACATAAACTTTGCAAAGCAGAATATGCAGCGAACTCCCAGGCGAGTTAACTTTAAAGATATTGCACTCTTTTAGGAATGCATTTTATTAATTTACATAAAAAATATGTAATTCTCACAAAGCTATATCTATGTCCAATGATATCTTTACTTGAATAAGATATCTCATACAATTTCTTTAATGAGCTATCTCTTAGGATCAATATCCCACCGCAGTCAAAACAAAAACAAAACAAAAACAAAAGCAATCCGCTTTAGGTTTTAGTACAACAGTAACCTTCCTAAAGGATCCATGTTCGGCTTCCATTGTTTTTCAATTTTGTATGAAACTCGTTTTTTTCAGCGGAACTTTAGCTTTCCAATAGGAAAACCAAACCTAGTTGAACCTCTTAGAAAAAAAGAGTTGCTCAAAATATAATAAAAAACAGAGGTTTGAGAGTAGAAAATTAGAGGGGCCAGACTGGGTATTGAACACTGATCAATTCAGATTGTTATACTTCTACTCCTGCCGACTGAGCTACGTGATGAACAGAAACGAAATTAAGGAGAAGTTACTGTATATACGAACAAGAGGGCCTGTATCACTTACCTGGATATGTGTAAAGTACTTGATATGAGGTTAAGCTATAGCACTACATTGTATGTACATATGAAATTTCAAAAAGATCCATCCAGTATTTCTGCAGATATAGCAAGAACAAACTTCAAACAAGCAAATTCGTTGAATTAATATCCCCCACTTGCAGTACATATTGTAGGTTAAAATTATTGAGGTTAGGTTTAAACATGTGAGTATCGTGCTGTTGAAATATAATGTATCGCATGAAACTTGAAGAAAAAAAGCAGTTATACATGTACCTCATTGATTATCAGTAAATATTCACAAATAACATCGTTGGCAAACTTAGCATGGGTCGGATGTGCATAAGGAATTTGTTTGAAACATCTGAACAATATCTACAGCAACTATCACACGAAAACCAAAGAGTGCCCGAGATGGGTGGAAAGACAGAGAAACACAAACATTGTTATCAAATTTGAAGGAATTTGGCTAATATTTGCCAGAGTTATAAAGCGGAAACTAAAGATAATGACGTTTTTGTTAATCAAGGGGCCATAACTCTGCCAAATGGAGTCCGATTGAAGTGGTTGTCAAACTTGGCCGACCCCTTAATGCGTTAAACCCGGTTACTAAGTTTGAAGAAAATCAGTTAACATTTGTTGAAGTTATTGCACGGAAACGAAACGCAGTAGATAATGACGTTTTCCGTTATTCAAGGGGCCTTTACTCCACCAAAGGGATCCGCTGAAAGTGGTCATCGAACTTGGCCGAAACCTTAAGGCACTTAACCATGTGACCAAGTTTGAAGAAAATCAGTTA